ATTTTAGATTGGAAACACAACAAAACACTAACACTCAGGGATTTGAGAATAGTCAGACGCCTGCTAATATCGATGATTCGTTTTTAGATCGAATCAATGAATTGTTAAACGAATTCAATCAATGGCACCAGCATGACCAAGAAGAATAATAACGTCATCTATCATTTTATTTTTAGATCATATGTTACTAATTTTATGCTTTATTGTAGTCCATGTATGTTGATATACTTATTCCATGATAATTATATGTTTATCCTTTTGTGTGATGTAAATTAAATGCTGAATGGCGGTTCATGTAGGGAAAGAACATATCAATATTCGCATATTCATTCAAAAACATGAGAATTCTTAATGGAGTACCCTCATTTCTTATTGAATTCCTAAAAAACAATATTTATAATGAATTTCAATAATTTTTTCAGATTTTTTTTAACCTTTATTCTGACCGATTCACCGATTCTCGATCCGGATCGCCGATTCACCGATCCGGATCGGTTTTTTGGAAGCCCGATCCGGGTCACCGATCCGTTTTTTAAACCATTGGATAAGACATATGCCCAAAAGGAAATGGTTGGCAATAGTAATAAAAGACATATGACTTATGGCTTCATTGAAGATATGACCCTTGATAGAACATGATGGTGAATTAAGATTCATATAACCAACCCCATATAATTAGAAAATAGATAAGAAGAAGATGAAAAGATGATGATGATGATAGGAGGTGAGCTGATTGTGTAAATGTTCATAGTAAAAAAACCATTCACTCCCTCCCATAGTCTGTTTGGGGGCAAATTCGGTATTTCTAAAACATTGGGAAAATGGTGCATGCTCTATTTTATTTGGTTTTTAATCAATAAGCTTCTTGCAAGTTTTAAAAAAATGGTTCGGTCATCTAGGTCGCCCACAGGAAAACCAGTCAAGACCCGCGGTCTAGATCGATGATCCGGCCTAATGAACTAGTGAATAAAAGATTTAAAAAATAAGAAACGAAAAAATTAAAAATAGTAAAAAATAAAGTAAGATTGTTTTTCTAATAGAACTGCCCGGTTCTCGATATTTAGACAAAACCTAACCAACCTTAACGGTTTTCCATCCGAATTGATCAGTTCCGATCCAGTTTGCCAATTTTTAAGACTTAGCTTCTTATTTAAATTACTTAGGAAATTCACCTTTGGTGTATGGACAATATAATATTTTTTCTTTCCTCTACTCTACTTTCTCCTTTTTTTTCTTTTTTTTTTTTCTCAGTCATTTTTCCCCTCTAAAGAAAGGACCCCTCAAGTTGGGATACAATTATTAAACCATAACAATCCATAAAAATAAATAGTATCCGAAATTGAATAATCAGGGCCTCCAAATAAAACATTTATCCAGTAAAAACATGAGCATAAAAATAGTAATAGGGCAACCTCCAATGCCTATAAATACTCTAATCTTGCACTGCAAATTCAATTATTTCTCTCAATCAAACCAATCTGCTAAAGAAAATCAATTGGGTTCAAAAAAAAATGTAGGCATCTCTTTAATGTAGGCATCTCTCTTTGTTGTTTTCTTTATGGGCTAAGGACGCTTCAAAAGTTTCATTGGATTTGTTCAAAGCTTCAAAAGCCTTTAATGGAGGATAATGGGAACGATGACCCATTGGGTTCCAATATTCCTGTGAAAGTTTGCGGTAAATATGACCATGAGCTTGATGTTGCAGTTAAAGTTGTTCAGCTTGCATGTTCACTTTGCCAGAAAGTGCAAGAAAACCTGGTCCAAAACCAGGACAAAGTCAAGGCTAAAGAGGATAGTTCCCTTGTAACAGTTGCAGGTATGTTAATTACTTTCTTTGATATGTTTTGCTTATTATAAGAAAAATGGAGACAATATTGCCCTACTCTGATTGATAATGGTTTTCCTTTATTATAAGAAAAATGTAGAGAAATTGTCCTTTCTCATTGCTACTTGATTTGGGTATTGTTTTAGTTTGGGATTTGGATTATTTTTAGTCTATGTAAATTGTTTTTTTTCTGTTTTTTTCTTTTCTTTTCCTGGACTTGTGTCACTGATTTTGAATTTCTTCTATATAATTTTAAGGAATTCGTTTTTGTCTCTTTTATTTGCCTTCTTTTGGTGCTAACTGCTAATTTTTAATTTCTGTCACTATCATTATATGGAATATCTCATACTTTTTTTTTTTTAATTCATATGGATTTTACTTTTATTTGTTCTACTTTCTTATCTCTTTTATTTAAGTGGCATCTTGATTTTGGCATTGCGCCTCGTCGAGGAATTGAAGAACTGGGTCTTCTTCCATTCTTCTTTTTGTTGCTTATTGGATAATAATAGTATATGATTCTATTTCCTATTCTTATTTTTATGTGATGATTCTTGATTGCGGAAATAGTATTTTGCTTATTCTTTCTCCTCCCTCTGGTTTCTTTCTGCTGAATTGGATTTTTTTTTTTTTTAATTTAGTGATGTTTCTTCTTTGCTGCTGTTATTACACACTAATAGTGACGACTGATAAGAGACGGTGTTTGGTATCAAGATTACTTTTGACTACGATTTTGCTCTGTATCTATTTTTTTTTTTTCTTTTCTTTTCTTGGGCCGTGTTTTGTATTGTATTGATTGATCTTTGTTGGTGGTTATTGTAAATTGCTGGGAACTTCATTTCTCTGAAAGCTTTGGGGAGCTTGAGTACCGATAACGATATTTCATTGTTATTGGAGGCCACTATTGACTGGCTTTAAGGAATATCTGATGAACTTCATTCAATGAGCATTCATCTTTTAGAGAAATAAGAAGGAAGAGAAAAAAATGTAAATGAAAGATGGCTTTATCTGAAACTATGATGGCTAACTGCTAGGTTAGAAGTTTGAGCTTCAGGTTGCTCTGAGAGTGTTTCTGATAGCAAGAGAGCAATGCAATGCTCATTTTAGAAGTACTTGTTCTACATAATGCTTTTTTCTTTGCGGCAAGTAAAGATTTTTGTACCCTAGAAAATTGCTCAGGCTGTATGATCTGATTATAACTTTTTATGCAAAAACAAAGTGATGCTTTTCATATCCTCCTTAATTATCTTAACTTCTTCAAGGTGAATGGTTATACTCTAGATCTTAGTGGGTATGACGTTAACGTTGAAAATTATGTTTTCTAAAAATTCCCCAGTCTCACCATTTTTAGTTTATCTTTTCTTTTGTATGGCTCTGCCCCAAGCACGCCATGCAACCCTGATGCTTTAGGGTCCATGTTTCCTTTCATCTTACTGCTTATATTATGACATGATTGCTGAATACTGTGAAATTAAAAATTGGGTGCTTCATTCATTCATAGGAAGAAATCTTTTAGTTCTCTTCTATACCAGAATGCAACTTCAAAGCAGTTGTTAGATGTCTACTTTAGTAGTAATTATCAAGAGAGACCATAAAAGCTAATTATTTCCATATAAAGAATTGTTATGCATAAAGCTGTTTGAAAGTAGCGAGATGTTCATCAATTAAAACTGTGAGTGACCGGTGATTGTATGGCCTAAATGCTGCATGTATAGTCAACATAAATGTTATTCGAGTTCTCGCTGAATTTTGGGTTGGGACAAAAAAAGCATTCTCATGTGGACTATACATGTTGTAGTAGTGGTTATAGATAAAGGAATTGTTATGTTCACCTCCAAGGATGAAATCCATGCCATTTCCTCAGTTATATGAACAAGAAAATAATGACTCTATTTTCAACTAATTAAAATGACTGCTTTTTACTCTTCCACTGTATCATAATTCTATGTGACCTACAGTAGACCTTACCTCATTCATGAAGCAAGACTAGTTTGCATTGAACAAGCTGTCTCATGGATTCCATTTATAAATAAACAACAAAATGTTTTGATGCACAGAAACCTGAAGTTAAACTGCTAGTTGAGATTACATATTTCAGGATACCACACGTTTTGATTCTATAGTGTCTTGACAAGGGTAGGGGACTTGAGCAACAGTCCCATAGATAGGGACTCTGTGAGACCACATTGCAATTTTTTTTTGTTGATAAGTGCTGTGTTTCTTGAAATAATTTGGATGTATTAGTATAGACTGTCTATATCAATGTTCAAAAAAGCGCAGGCGGGCGCCTAGGTGTTTTGGGGGCTTGGCCCCCTACGCGGCCGGGCGCCCAAGAACAAAGACGGGTAGGGATTATTCACATAAGAATTAAGATAAAATTTATAATATAATTATTATTTTTAAATTTATATTAATAAGATTTGGTTTTGGATATCAAATAGTTACAAGATACCAATTTCATCCAAATTTTATGACTATTCACAAAATATAAGTTCAAAGCGGTAAATGTTCCATCTACAAATGTAAAAAATATAAAAAAAGAACAACGAAACTAATAGGATATTAAAACATCGCACATTGTACAAATAAAAACCAATTATTCATAAAAGAATTCATTATAGGACCAATTTCATCGTCCAAACAAGTTAATAATCAACTAATCGCAAAAAAAATCAATCTTTCAACTACAAACGTGCAAATATATCATAAAAGGAAAAAAAAGTTAAAAAAAAATTAAATGATTCCAAACATAATATGTTATAGCAAAAAAAAAATCAAAACTCTTATTCAAATATCATAATGGCATAATGCTTTAAAAATGTTGAAACAAAAATGATGTCGGCCCAAACCTCGTTTATTCGATCTCCAAAAGTCCTAACTATTGACCACTAGAAACTCTGAAAACTACCATGAATCATTTGCCTTTGATTTCGGAAGAAATCAAGAAAATAAAAAATTCATTGATCTTTCGATAAATCACAAAATCGAGGTTTCTGAGGAGTTTTTAGCTCTCTAGATGGCACAGATTTGGTTTTGGTGGTTTAGAATGTCCCCCCAAAACCCTTTACCCTCTTTTTAGAAGGGGGGGGGGGAGAGGGGGTTAAGCGAAGGGAATTTTTCTGCCCTCAGCATCCTGCTCCTGGGCAGCCACCTTGACTGTAGCGCCTAGGCAGGCGCCTAGACACAAGCCACCTAGTTTCGACCTAGGCGTTTTAGGCAATTGGCCGCTTAGGTGGTTGGGCGGCCGAATTTTCAAACACTGGTCTATACAAAATTGGGCCCTTGACAAATTGGCTCTACCCAATAAAGTTGGATAAGTTGGACATCACATGGTCTAACTTTTTAATATAGTTCCTCCCCAATGAGTCTGCAAGTTGTCTGACCTCTCTCGTAGCGTACTGCAATGGCACTCTAAAGTTAGTAATAATGGCAAAAATTCCATAAAGAATGGAATTTAGGTGCCAAGGGTAATGCTGTTAATTGGAATAAACGGACACTCAGTTTGACGCAAGATAATCGGAAAAATTCTTAGCAATTCACTCATTTAGAACACTCCCATATACACAAGCTCTAGAAAACCTGGCACATGGCATAATGGGAAAAAGAAGGATGACAATGATACAAGTTAGGCCAAATCCTGCATAGGTGTATGAGTAGAGGCGAGAGTAGGAACAGCATTTACCCACTAGGCTCTTCAATGGACAGAATCTCTAAGTACCCCTCTGCAAACTAGGATTTGTCAAGAGACATGAATGAAGCCTGAATCTCATCTTCCAACTAGGTGTAAAAATGGAATAATACTCTCATCCATCGCAAGTTATCTACTAAAAATGTAAGTAAATGCCAATACAAAGTTTTGTGGAAGTCATAGCAGAGTGGTTGGGAGTGTCTTTGTCAAAAGTGAAGGCCAGCTGATTCAGGCATTTGTAAATGGCAGGTTATGGCAAAAAAGAATAATAAGAAACAAAATAAATGGTGGGTTATGGTGTGCCTTAGGCATGATGATTTGTACAACATTGACGGTGACTGTCAAAGTGTATCCCAAGCACTATTGCTGGTATTCTTGTCTTTTACTGGGGGAATTCTTGTCATCTAGATTGTTAGCACTTGAGTTGCATTGAGCTCTTGTCGCATATGGACAAGCTAGTCTTTTATCATCCATGGATTGTGTAAGGGCTCCATATTTCACATAATGCTAATCATATTGATGAGTTTCATATTGATGTTAGGAATCATATAGATTTCTCTTATTACAGAATCCTTATCTAAAGATTTAGGGTTTTCTGGTACTGAAAGACATAGACTACACTGAGTCATTATAGTGATGCATAGGGCCTTTTTGCCAATTGTTGGATGGAGGGGCGGTAAGGGTGGCAACAGGTTGGGTCAGGTCCAGGATTGGCCGGACCTGACTGGAAGTAAAGTTGTCAGACTTGGACCCAACCTAAAAATAAAAACTATATATATTTAAATATTTTTCAAGTGGAAGGCTCAAAAAGGACAATGGGTAAGCTCAAAAGGACATAGTTGGAAGTAGTGAGAAAAGATACGGGGACTTATGGTCTTACTAATGGTATGACCCTTGATAGAGCAAAATGACAGAACATGATTCAGGTAGCCATCCCCAAATAGTTGGGAAAGGCTCTAATGATGATGATGATTATTTTTTTTTCTTTATTTTTCCTAAATTTTCCCAAATATTTTCGGATATTTTGATCTTCTTTGGGAGACACAGCCAGGACTCAGTGAGTCCTCTTGTGACTCCTCAAGCTGACTTGCTTTGGGCACTTGCTGAGTCCACTAGTGAGCCTTGGTTTGTGACCACTGGCTTTGACCAATTTGTCTTGAGGTACTCACCGAAACCATATCATGCTCATCATCATTGTCATAGCCTTTCCCCAATTAATTGGGATCAGCTACACAAATCATGGTCTGTCATTTTGCTCTATTAAAGGCTATACCTTCAGTGAAGCCATGAGCCCCCATATCTTTTCGGACTACTTCCAACTATGTCCGTTTGAGCCTACCTCTTGCCCTTTTCAGTCTTTCCACTTGAACTAACTCGCACCACCTAACAGGTGTTGTACTTGGTTGGTGCCACACATGGCCAGCCACCTAAGTTTGCTCGTTTTCATCTTATTGTCTATTGGTGCCCCACTTAAATTCTCTTGAATGGATTTATTTCGAATTCTATCCCTTCTTGTCTTGCCACTCATTCATCTCAACATCCTAATCTCCTATACATTCATTATATGGATGTATTGTTTTTTGTCCGCCCAACATTCCACCCCATAGAGCAAAGCTGGTATCACAACTATCTTATTGAACTTGCCCTTCAGCTTCATTGGTATGCGGTGATCACATAAAATTCCAGTTGCACATCTCCACTTCGCCCACCCAGCTCTAATTTGTATGCCACACCTTCCTCAATCTTTCCATTTTTCTGGATTATCGACCCAAGATATTGAACGTGTAGTCATTTTCGTAATTTCGTACTTCCTGGCCGTCAATCTTAACTACGTCCTCATCTCTATTCCTATTATTATTAAACTTGCATTCCATATAATTTATCTTAGTCTGGCTAATTCTATAATGAAATGCCTCAATTACTTTGATACTGCATAATCTAGCTTTTTAAGTTCAGTCTGCACTATAGTTATCAGGAAACTTGTTTTAAATGTAGATTGTTGATGATTCCTGCTTCACATTTCATGGCTCAATATACTATATACGTATTTTCTATTTTGTTGGTATTCTTCTTCTTTCTTTCTTTCTTTTTTGGAGAGAGAATGCTGTATTCTATTCACTGAAACTTATCATACCATACTGCATTCATTTCCCTGTCTGTAGTAATGCATATCTGTAATTTATATAGTCTTTAATTTTCTATTTTTATTATAGCCAAAATGTAAGGACCTACAAAGAGCAAAAGTGGAATAGGAACCTCAAAGCCCTATATCTCGCCGATGGAACAATCATGTCTCTCTCTCTCTCTCTCTCTCTCACACACATATAAATATTGATGATACATATGCAGATGCAGGAGGTACAAGCCCTGCTGAGCCTTTTTGCTCGCTGAGGTTTGTGCTCCTTGTCTTTCACACCTTGAAGATATACGTCCCAAGGTCTGAAAGGTTGTGTGCAGTTTTCCTTGGGGGACGATCTTTAAACATTTCAAAATATGCGTTTTATGATATTCATGATACTTTAGTTTGGAAATTTGACGAAATATTCATCTCGCACCACTTAGTTTGTGATATATGCTACAGGTTTCTAAGGTTCATATTTTAGGTCTCCCCCCCCGCCTCTCTCTCTCTCTCTCTCATGGAAGTATCACGTATACATATCTAGTTCCCTTTTTTTGATAAGTAACTGCTTGTACATGTCTAATTCATTGGGCTTCTTGTTATGTACACTTCTTGTGTTTCGCAACTCAAAAGCATGCCTAGAAGGCCATATGTTGTCTACATGCTATTTTTGGGGACAGACTTCCAATATTTTGTGATCACCTGTATTAGGAGCACCAAATTGGGATGAGAAGATAACTCCTAGAAGTTCAATAGCTACAATTTTGGATATCGTATACAGTAGAAATCAATCCACTTGTCCGATGAAGTTACGGAGACAGACAGAGCCGAGAAACCCAGCTGTCTTATATCTTGCGGCCTCATTAATAAATTATGGCCTCATTAATAAATTATGACCTTCATGTCACTTAGTTCTGCACCTAAATAGAGACAAACTTGACCGAAAACAGTTAATTTGGACTTCTGATGGAGCCAAAGCTACCATTGAGTTCCTTGGACTCTTTTGACGACTGCGATGTTTTGTTCATGTAATATACCCAAAATCTGAGGTTGAGTTAGCATAATCTTTTGACCATGACCCATACAGGAGTTTTAGATGATGTTTATATTTTCGGAGATTGATCATGGTCTTTCTTTTTGTTTACAATCCTATCTGATTTATGACTGCCTGTTCTATGCTTTTGTATGCACGGGTTTGCACTTTCCCATCTTTTTCTTCTCTGTGATAATTGATTGACAACCATTGTACTTGCCCATGCTTTTATTTTCCCCCTTCTGTTGATAGATGTAAATGCATTGCGGTTAAACCTCTATGGAGTGCACCTTCCACTTCTGACTCTTAACCATTTAAATAGATTGGAGTGTCCAAGCAACTGTTAGCTGGGTTCTCTCAGAGTACTTTGGAAGTGAAAGCATATCAATTGTTGCAGAAGAAGATGTTCAGGCTCTTACAAGAGTGGATTCCACTGCTTTACTGGACACTGTGGTCTCCACAGTAAATGAATGCCTATCAGAGGCAAATGGTTTTGGACTAAAGGGGCCAAAAAAATCCCTTGGATCCTCAGAGGTCCTTGAGGCCATAGGAAGATGTAATTCTAATGGAGGCCCAAAGGGAAGGCATTGGGTGCTTGACCCAGTTGATGGAACCCTAGGATTTGTGAGAGGAGACCAATATGCAGTTGCTCTAGCCATGCTAGAAGAAGGAGAAGTGGTGCTTGGAGTTCTTGGCTGCCCAAATTATCCAATGAAAAAGGAGTGGCTTAATTACCATCATAGTTACTATAGGATAATGTCAAAGTTAAGCTCTCCAACTTTTGAGTCTTGGCATAAAGGGTGTGTCATGTATGCCCAGAGGGGGAGTGAAGCTTGGATGCAGCCTTTGCTTTGTGATAACAAGCAATTTTCGTTTCAGAGCTTGGCAAGGTCGATTAGGGTGTCATCAATTGATGACCCAGCGCTAGCAACATTTTGTGAGCCGGTTGAGAAGGCCAATTCAAGCCATTCCTTCACTGCTGGACTGGCTCACAGTATGGGACTAAGGTTCGTTAACTCATGACCAGCTCTTTATTGGGGTGTGTGTGTGTGTGTCTGTGTGTGTGTGTGTGAGAGAGAGAGAGAGAGAGAGGTTTACAGTGCTTTCTATCTCTTATTTGGAGGCCAGCAATTTTATTTTTTTTGGTCATTTTTGTAGATTTTGCAAGAATCAAATTGTATATCCATCATTTTTCTAAGTCAAAAGGATCTAAGGTTATTGACCTACGAAAAACTTAGATGCAAAGAAACTCAAGTGAATTACCGATAGTTATATTTATGCATGGGTCATTTATAGAAGGAAAAAGTTTATTTAAGTGCAAGGCTCTAAACACTCAAATTAGAGCGCACCTCAAAATTTTCATTAGAAGAGGTTGTTTTGATGCTAAAAATCCTCAAATTGATCATCTCGACTTCAAGATGCTTGTACATGAGAAAAAAATGGATTTCACGTTTTGGAAGTAGTGTATCTTGTAATGCATTTTTGGAACTTCAATTTTCAAGATTTTCAAGTTTTCATAGATTTGCTCGATCTACACTCTTTTTGAAGGTTTAAATTTTATAATTAGAGATGAAAATAAATTTCAAGGCTATCACAAAGATTTCCGGTTTTGAAACCACATTTCTCGACACTATTTGAAGGTGAGCTTTCCTTTGATTGTTTAGAGCCTCAGCCTTATACAAACCGCACCCTTTATAGAAATACAAAATATATCTATAAGATGAGTATTGTCTATGGCTTTCTTTCTGTTGTATTTACAGGAATTAATGATTATTATACCCATTGTTTCCTAAACTGATGTTAGTTTTCTATGGCTTCAGCCTCAGCCTTATACAAACCGCACCCTTTATAGAAATACAAAATATATCTATAAGATGAGTATTGTCTATGGCTTTCTTTCTGTTGTATTTACAGGAATTAATGATTATTTTACCCATTGTTTCCTAAACTGATGTTAGTTTTCTATAGTAACTGCTAGACTAGTGGTCCTATTTTCTCAAAACCAACTGCATTTATGATCCTTTCCCAGATCATGAATTAATAACTGCTCCCAATCTAAAAAATGTCCCAACTGTTTCTATTTTATATTTTGGGTGGGAGATTTAATGGGCCTCCATGAATAGGGTCTAATATTTTTAGGGGTCTTTCCATGAGATTCCTCTTCCCTACTGTTGAGCAAGCCCCCAAAGAGGGTTTAGTGTGGTCGAATTAATGTTTCATTTTTTTTGTTTAGATGAACGTATTGATCAGTTTAGGTTCTTTCTTTTTCTTTCTACTCAATGACAATGTGGGTATGCTCTAGTTCTCCATATATGTATACTTTATCCTCAAAATCTAATTTAACTATCATATTATCAATAAGTGAATAAGTTAAAACTGCCATGTCACTGTAATGGCAGGAAACGGCCTTTGCGTGTTTATAGCATGGTCAAATATGCAGCCATAGCTCGAGGTGATGCTGAAATATTCATGAAGTTTGCAAAGGCTGGATACAAAGAGAAGATATGGGACCATGCTGCCGGGGCTCTTATAATTCAAGAGGCTGGTGGTGTGGTAACTGATGCAGGAGGCCGGCCTTTGGATTTTTCCAAAGGTATATATTTAGAAGGCCTTGATCGAGGTATAATTGCATGTTCAGGTGCTGTTCTTCACAAGAAGCTCATCAAGGCTGTCTATGATAGTTGGGACTCCTCTAACTTGTGAACCTTCTCTATTTCATCATTATTGACAATGTTGATCGAGTAGTTTCCAATCTTTTGGTACTGATGGACCTATCTGCCACTCTTAAGGCAAGTCTCTCTCTCTCTTGTATATATATGGGGGATTTACTTTTATACGGGGGATATATTTTTATACACCCAAGGGCTGATGCAATAACATACACCCAATTATGCAGATCGAATATATGCGGATTTGATGATCATGATTGCATTTCATATTTAAATTATAAATTTTTTTATATAAATTCAAATCACTTGAAATTTTGAGCGTCCACTCTTTCTCATTAAAGCACACCTAATTAAAATATTTAAAATAATTTAGTATAAATAAATTAACCAAAATACCTCTATTTAGTCTAATAATTTTAGTGTAATTTACTTTTTAAATTATTTTACTTAGGGT